CCTTTTTAACGTGGTCCACCTGATATGACTTGCAAAAGTCTCTAAATTCACTTGATGTGAATTGAGTGCCATTATCTGTAACTACACGATGTAACACGTCAAAACGCGTGAATAGCTCGTGTAGAAATCCGATCGTACAGTTTGTGGTTGGTCTTTTACATTGTAGGACCTCAGGCCATTTTGAGCGGCTATCCACAACAATGAGATAGTACATGTTGTCCATAGGCCCTGCAAAATCCACATGAATTCTTTGCCAAGGATGATCTGTTTTGGGCCATGGTTTGCACGTCGTGTTTGGATCTTTTGCTGCAAGCGCGCATCCTTTGCATGATTCTATCATGTCTGCTATGTCCTTGTCCATGTTTGGTCAATAAACATAGCAGCGCATGAGGCTTTTCGTACGGTTCTTCCACGGATGTCCCATGTGAAAATCCCTGAGGATTTTTCTTTCTAGGCTGTTTGGAATCACTACGCGGTCATTATATAGTAGGACATCATCGCAGAGGGAGAAAACTTCAGGCACATTGGGGTCTTTGTTTCGAATTTTGCTTTTTATGGATTGAATGAATTCATCCTCTCGAGACTCCCTTTTATGTCGGCCAAAATATAACTGGGAGCTCTCTTATGGTACTCACGATCATGTTTTTTGATTTCACAATTTGTCCTTAGAGTGGCAATGATGGTGTCTTCAAAGACTTCTGTATTTTTTGGAATGAGTCGCAATAAACTGTCTGCATGGCAAATATTTTTGGATGTTAGGAACTCTATCTTGAAATTATAGTTTAAGAGAATCGTTCCCCAACGAAGTAGTCTATTTGCAGTATAGACTGGGAGACCTTTTTTAGACCCAAAAATTGTAATCAGAGATTTATGATCTGTCTGCAGTATGAACCGTCTACCATGTTGATAGCTGTGAAACTTTGTCACAGCGAATATTAACCCTAGAGCCTCTTTCTCTATTTGGGAATATTGTTTCTCAGCTGGAAGTAGAGATCTTGATGCGTGAGCCACAGATTTTCGCGAACCATCTGGCAGTTTATGTCAAATGCAAGCACCAATGCCGTACGAGCTTGCATCACTTGTGACTAGGATGTCGAGACTAAGGTCAAAATGTGTGAGGGAGAGATCTGAAGTAAGAGTTTTCTTGATCTTCTCGAATGCGTCTTGGCATTCCGGGGTCCATGACCATGGTTTGTCCTTTTTTAAAAGTTGGTTGAGAGGCCCTCTCAAATTTTGCATGTTCTTAATGAACCCTTGGTAAAAGTTAGCTACGCCGAGGAAGCTTTGTAACGCTTGAACGTTATCTGGGGCCGGCATGTTTCTGATCGCGTTGGCTCTTTCTGGATCCGGCCGACGACCATCTTCATTAATGATGTGTCATAAGTATTTAATATCTGGTAAGAAAAGGTCACACTTTTCCTCCTTAACCTTAAATCCGTATTCTTGTATCTTTTCGAATACGTTTATTATATGGTTCCGGTGCTCTGCCGTAGTTTTACTAGTAACCAGTATATCATCCAAATAGGCTGTTGCGTAGTCAAGGTCGCCCATCATGGCGTCCATGACCTGCTGGAAAATTGCAGGCGCAACTTTTACTCCAAAAGCCAACCTTGTTGTATTTTTACAACCCTCTATGGGTGTTTATGCAGAGCAATTTGGAACTTTCTTCTTCCACCTCTATCTAAAGGTATGCGTTCAAGAAGTCAATTTTAGAAAAAAAATTTTCTACCATTGAGTTTATTGAAAATTTCTTCAGGGCTTGGGAGAGGATAGTGGTGATCTTGCAATGCATTGTGTAACCCTGTGGAAAAATCTGCGCATACTCGTATTTGATTGGACTTCTTTTTACGTAGACCGTAGGTGCTGCCCACTCGCTGAAATCTGTTTTTGACAGAATACCTGCTTGTTCGAGTCTATCTAACTATTTATTGATTTGCTCTAGAGCAGCGAAAGGGACATTCCATTTCTTTTTGAATACCGGTTGTGCACCGTCCTTCACCTTGAACTTAGCTTTCATTTTAGTACATTTCCCAAGACCGCCAGGAAAAACCTGGGGAAATTGTTGTTTGAGTTCCTTTTTTAGATTTACCAAATTGGACGTTGTACTTTGTATCTTGCGACAAAATGTACTCATTGGGCAATCGCAAAGATTGAATTTTTCTATCCAATCTGTTCCAAATAAGTTATCTGAAGTTTTCAATACGTAGGCTTTGAGCTTTTTGGTAACTACATTTAGTGTTACTGTAAGTATTACCTCGCCTAAAATGTTAATCTTTTCGCCAGTTACGGATTTTGCTGTTTTATCCGTTTTTAATAAGGTCGGCTTGTTTAATTTTCGCCAAGTACGCCAGATAATGGCTGAAATAACAGAACCCGAGTCAAGCTGGAATTTAATGGACTTATTGAAAATATCCACAGTTACATATTTTCTTAAATTCCTATCAACAATATTGTCAGATTCAGCTTGCCTAATTTTATTTTTGGGTTTTCTCGTTCTGTTGGCGTATCAGCACGAAGTTAAAGTATGCCCACTTTTATTGCAATTTTGCAATATTTTTTTGTTCTTAACTGGACAGAATTTCATCCAATGCCATTTACCACAATGGTAACATGGTCCGGGCGGTTTCTTTTAACCTATTTGGGTTTTGGTTACTGCGTAATTTAGGACATGAGATTTGCCTTTTGTCTTTTTTTCATCATAAATAGGAGACTTGCTTCTGATTTTATTAATCTGAGCCGCACCTGATTTCTCGATAGTGTTTGAGTCACGCTTTACAGATATTACTCTTTGACAGTCCTTTGCCAGTTTTTGGAGAGTCAATACTTGTTCGTTCTCAAGCTTCGTCTGACTTCGGCGTCTTCTGCTGATACTAGACCTTGTGCGAAAATTAAGCACTTAAAATCATCGGCAGTCAGTTCGGCTAGTTTAAAATCATTACATAGCTTGTTTTCCGATGCTGCAAACGTTAGAAAATCTTGCTGGTTGTCTTTGACTGTGTTCAGGCATTTCCAACGTTTGTGGAACAAGGTTGTGTTAGACCCGGATAGTTCCGATAGGAAATTAATAGTCTCTGAAAAATCCAAGTCAGTTGTTTTCTTGGGTAGTATGAAGTCTACGAACCTACTATGTTCTGTAGTTCCCAGTTTTCTCAATAGTAGACGTACCTTTTTTTTTAATGGGTCATTGTTCACAGTCTGCGTTGAAAATATATTCGTAGCGCCTGTAAAAAGCTTCGAACGTTTTGTCGTTCTCTGGTACGTATTCAAAGGTTTCCATTTAATTGTAGATTATACTCTGGGAGAATATTGTATCTTTTTCAGAGTTTGAGCCTTTTAATGCATTTACGAGTAATTCTTTAAGTTGTTTCTGTTGTAGTTCAGCATTCTGAAGCGTAATTTTTTGGAATTCCATTTGCTTTTTATGTAAATCCAAAAATAGTTGTTGTTGTCTTTCTTTTGATTTTTGTTGCTGATCCAAATTTAGTTTTAACATTTGGGAAACTACTTTTTGCAAATCTTCCATATTTAAAAATGACAGCGCTTTTTTTGTGTTTTGAAACACGTGTACTAAGAGGAGGTACACAAAAAAATCTTGATAGATTTTTGTTCCTTTTTCTTTCTTTTACAGAATATGGACAGACAATAGTTAAACTAAACTAATTATGTGTGTTTAGCTTTTTTTCCGTGGTTCCGTTAATTTTAACGTAATTGAATAATTTTTCACCACACTTATGGTAATCGTATGAGACTGTCACTCTCTAGAGTGCTATTTCGCCTACTTAATATAGGCCTGGAAGAGTCTATTGTGTAGGTACTTTCCGGTCTCACAATAATACTAATACTACTAATAATTTAGCTTGAAATCAAATTTTAATAATGAAACTGTTTTGTCACTTTGTGGATATGCGTGTCAGATACGTGTGTTAGTCTGTGTGTCTGGGTCACTGTGTGTGAATGTGTGTCGGCTTGGATGTGTGTGTGTGACATTACAGAACATTTACTTTTTATATTTCGTATGTATGTCTGTCTGTGTGTCTGTTCGTCTATATGCAGTATCTATCTGTCTATCTTATTAAAACTGTTTTCTATCTATCTATCTATCTATCTATAAAACTGCTTTCTATCTATCTTAATAGGGCAACTTGAGGCGGTGTAATGATTGGCAAGCTTGTCACGCTAGATCAATTAAGACTTAGTAGTGAGTTCGATACTCACTGAGTGTCCCTTATTTTCGGCCTTGTGCCATATCTAAGCTACGTTTGGAATATCCCTGTACTTTTTCTGTCTGTCTGTCTGTTTTATAAAAACTGCTATCTATCTGTATCGCTTCATATCTATCTATCTATCTATCTATCTATCTATCTATCTCTTTACCTGTCTGTCTATCTATCAACCTGACTTGCTGTCTCTCTTTCTCTTTCTCTCTCTTTTCATTATCTATGTATCTATCTATCTATTTTATTAAAACTGATATCTATCTCAGTCTCTATCTTTATCTATCAATTTATCTAATCCAACGTCTTTCCCTCTTCATTTGAGGGAAAAGTCATTGTACATAATTCTATCGAAGAACAAATCGAAAAAAAAATGCCATTTTTGAACTTAAATATTGATTCTGTTTGAAAAATGATAATAATTTCAAGTTAATCCGAATTAAATAAAAGAATGAATTTCTGTATATAAATAATCAGTTTAAGCTTTTTAAAAAACATTTCCCTTTCATTTTGTCACTCATCGAACCGCCATATTAAAAGCGAAAAAAATATCAAGAAATTTTCATTAACTTTTTAACTATATTGTTTCTGAGTTTGATTAAATTTTTGATTTGCTAACAACCGATTCAGTAAATAAAAACATTCATTCGGTAATAAGTTACTGAAAATTGCATTTGAATCTGATAATCCCCAGGCGTATTTTTTTTTTTTTTTTTGTATTTACTCAAATCTCCAAAGGTCAGGTTGTGACAAAGTCTGTTTAATGTTAGGAACACGAGATTAGAATTAGATAGATAGATAGATAGATAGATAGATAGATAGATATGAAAAGGACGTGTTGCACCGCTGGCAGAAGGTGTCCTTGGATTGACGGTGCCGTCGACAGTCGTCCATCGTGATGACCCTGACGGCCTCCACCCTCGACATGCCCGACAAGTCTTTGGTCTCGTGTCCGGAGTGGAAACTCTCGCAGGATTGGCACAAGAGTTTCTCGCATTCCTGGCACCAAATCTGGACGGTCGATTCTCTCCCGTTCTCTTCAAAGCACCTGTCGCACCTCCATTCGCTGGATTCCAGCTGACGGCGCCTCAAAGTCTTCTCTAGAAATGTTGACAGTCTCAAATCGTCAACGGTCACCGGTCGTTGGCACTGGGGACACGGGCCATTTTCTTCCAGAATCATCTCAATACACGACCGGCAGAAGGAATGAAGACATGGTAATGTCTTTGATGACAAGTCCAACATTCGGTCGCATTTCGAGCATGGAAATGTCTCTACATCACTCACACTGGACGCCATTTTGAAAATTTCTACCAAAAGATAAAAAATCAATCTGTAAAAAAAAAAAAAAAAAAAAGGTCAAAATTAAAAATTCTTTAAAGCCGAAAAAAAAAAAATCCATTTATAAAATCAAAAGTAAAATGACCCGAAATTTCATTGGTTTTACAAGAAAAACACATCGACATCCGGAAAGGAAATTTTCTTCTAAAATCCCAAATCAATGAAGTGGGTGGGGGGCCTTTTTTTTTTGGGGACGAATAAAATAATTAGATAGTTGGGAACAGGAGAGTTGTTATCAATAAAGCTGTCATGGGATTTGAAGGCATTTCATTGGACGAGAATAGTCACACATTCTGGACTAACACATTACTCTAACAAATAACAAGGGAAAAGCACTTGATTGAATAACTGAAGGGGAGGAAAGCAAACGGACTGAGACATCATAGGTGTTTAAGGCATTTCATTGGACGAGAATAGCCACACCTCTGGATTGGAGAGTCTGTCTATATTTCTGAGATGAGGTATTATGTACAGTATTTACATTAGTCGGACTATTGTCCTCATCTTTGCCGCCATATTCGTCACAACGTTTCGGCCGTTTCGTTTGTACGCTCCGGCCTTCTTCAGGTGGTTGAAATTTCGAACTGAACCCTTTATTTCGATCACTGGGGTAGACTGTCCTAATTCCACGTGCCATGTCAGTTATCAGTTATCTCCTGCTAATTTTCCCTCTGAAAGTTCTCCACTGCCTTAACCAGGAATTGAACTCACCTTCTTTGGGTCTGTCACTGGATCTATCCAATGTGCCATGTGTCCTTGAGGACATCTGGGTATGAACTTCTGAGTATTATAAACCTAATGTTTTCAGCATCATTTTTACCAGTGCTCATATTGCAATTTTTTGCTGTTATCATTGCATGTCTTTACCAGAGTTCATATTGCAACTTTTGTTATCATTGCTTTTCTCTGGCACTCCTTATTACTGGTTCCCCATATTGTATTTATTTCTATGCTTGGTCGGCTCAGGAGATTTTTTGTGGCCTAGCATATGTGCTGATTCCTTAAGTTTACGAATTTTCCAATGGTGTTCCCTTGTCTATGATCTCAACATGATCCCACAGGGGGCGGTGATCTCCCTTCTCTCTCTCATATGTGGTCAGCCACGCCTGATTTTTCCTTCCCCTCGTGTTACAGCTTTCTGGTGTTCTTGAAGCCTTACCTTGAGGGGGTGGCCTGTCTCTCCTTTATATTTTCTTTCCGCAGCTGCACGGGATAGCGTACACACACAGTCTTTAGTCATGTTCTCCTCTATATGGGGGTCTTACTCGGGAGAGATATCTGCGAAGTGTCGTCAAGCTTTTGAAGGTTGTCCTGATGTTATATGGACCGCAGATCCTTTGTATTTTCTCTGATAACCCCTTCACATAAGGCAGGCAGACTGTTTTCTGAGTGTTGTTGTCCTCCTCCTCTTGTACCCGCCTATCCCAGTTTTTGGGGGCTGCTGCCATGTACCCAGGGTAGTTGTTACGTTGTAGGGTACTACTTATACTGACCAATTCCTTATCTAACGTCTCTGGATCGCCATTAACTTTTGCTCGGTGTTGTAAGCAAGTCGGACGATCCCTTTCTTTACGCTGTATGGATGGTGGGAGTTGAAATTGAGGTACTGTCCGGTGAATGTTGGTTTACGGTATACGGATGTCTTTGAACCCATTCTCTGTTCGAGATATTAGAACATCCAGGAATGGGAGTGAGTTGTTACTCTTTTTCTCCATTGTGAACTGTATCGAAGGTCTTATTGAGTTCACATGGTCCAGTAGAACCTGGACATCTTCCTGGTGTGGCCAGAGTATGAAACGGTCATCTATGTATCCTTAACCATAGAGTTGGCTTTAGAGATATAATTCTAATGCCATTTCTTCAAACCTATTCCATGTATATATTCGCCATTGCTGGTGATAATGGCGAGCCCATTGATAAGCCCTCATCCTGTCGATATATGTGTGATCCCATTCCGAAGTGTGTTGTTTGTGTACAGAAAGTCAACATCTCCATCAGATTATCTATTGGAATACTGGTCCGAATCTTCTAGGGAAGAGTCAGAGGCCAATCTGTCTCTGACTACTGAGAGTGCCTCCTCCATGGGTACCTTGGTGAACAAACTCACCACGTCCAAGTCACCATCTGGTTGGATGGGATGGGATATCTTTGATTATTTCCACGAAGTGGGCGGAGTTTCGGACATATGAAGGAGACTTTCCGATTAAATGGGTCAATTATATCTACAAAAAAAGCGACTCAGAGGGTGGCACAAAGAGCCTTGGCAACTAACAATCGGCCTGAGCGGAATACTGTCTTTGTTGAATTTATTGAGACTGTATATGGCGAGGTAACTTGGTGTAACGCTGCGATAACTGCCTATACAAATAATGGTGCGAAGTGATCCTTGTTCTTGATTAGTATCTGTGACAGTCTGCGTTCCGTTTTCATTTAATTCTTTTTTCTGTTGCTGTAACTATTTATTGCTAATGATTCAACTTCCAGATTTCTTGTATAATCCGATTTGTCCATTAAAACTACAGTCGCATTAAATTTATTTGTCAGCCGGTAGTATGATTATATTTTTTTTTTCCTCTGTAAATTTAATCATGCTTTCTTCTTTAATAATTTTTTTTTTGGGCAGCTTGGCCTTCTCAAAATCTTTAGTTTGATTTCCAATTTTCATCTGGTTTTGTTTTGGATTCATTCACCTTCTTTTCTGGCAATGATGTCCAAGTATGGCAATCGCGCTGATGGTTTTCAAATGATGGCAATTTTGAATTACTGATTTGGTTTGATGGTTTTGGTTGATCAATGTCGATTTGACACCCACATATAAATTTAATGGACGTTGTGATTTCTATTCTGATAATTTTTCAATCTTAATCATTTTGTACTTGTTGAGCCTTGAATACATCAATAAAAATAATGTATTATTTTATCCTGAATAAAATTTTTTTTGCTTCCACATTTATATTTAAATTCATATTCATTTTTTTTAGTTTGTTTACGTATTGAATTTCATAATAGTAAATTTAAGCTATTTCTTTGTAAATATACTAAAAAAAAAAAACATGTTTTTGCAAACAAAAAATTCCGCTGGGTTCCATTCTTTTTTAGGAACAAACAAACAACACCAATAAAAAAAAACAGTTTGCCTGCCTAAAATATGTTAAGGGGGCCTCCACTAATAAATATTTTTTTCTGTGATTGTTTAATATTAAATTAAGGACAAAATGATTCAAAATTGCGAAACATAAAAATAACATAATTACCCAGTAATTCTCACACATAAATCCTCATTTTTTTAATGACACAAATGATTTTTTTGACTGGCGGTACGAAAATATATTTGGAGGAAATTTTTGTCCGTATAAAGGAGAGATATATATATATATATTCAAATATATATATATATAATATCCGGAAGTAGCAAAAATGAAAATATTTCGTTCCACATTTTACCAATGTTTGAGAAATTTTGAATTTTTTTTTAATGTAAACGTTTATATCATTTTTTACAAAATTTTTTTGAGGAAAGAAATTTAATTAAAAAAATATATTGAAAATCATATAAATATATAACATATTTAAAATTGTAAAATGCCGATTATTGTTAAAATAAATTAATATTTATAATATAAATAAAACCAAACTAATTAGCAAAATGATTTTTTTTAATATATATTCGATTCCTATATATATAATATATTAAATGAAATTTATATATATATATAATATAAAAAATTTTTTCAATACTGTAAAAAAAAATTGGCAAATTTTTCTGAAAAACATTTTTACCGTAAAATACTCTAAAAGGGTTATTTCTATCTAAATTAAAAAAAAAATTTGAGACTTATTAAAACCAGTTCAAGACCCAAAAAAACGTGAGTTCATTTCCCGTTAAAAATATAAAAGATTTTTTTCTTCTAAGTTTCAAAATGTTATATTCCATTATTCCCAAATCCTTAAACATGGCACGTTATGAACTTTGAAACAAAGGCTAATCAATATTTAAATATATTATATTACAGATTTCAGAAAAGAAAAAATTGAAAAAGGCATTTTAAACAAACTTTTTTCAAATTGACAAAAAATTAAAATAAACAAAAATGAAATAATATATATATATATATATATATATATATATATATATATTGGACTGGAATGTTTAATTTGAGAAAATAATTTTTTAATTTTAAAAAGTTTAATAAAAAAAAAAAAAATTTAAAAAAAAAAATGTAAATTCCATATTTAAATTTCCACACCTTCAACAATTTTTTTGAAGCTCGTTTAAATTAAATTGAATGTTTCGATTCAAAATTTTCCATCATTCTTAAAGTTCTCTGACAAACTTTGAACGATTGTTGTTAGCTTTTAAAAAATGAAAATAAAAAAGTTTAATCAAGAAGGACAAATCGTTGATTTCATTTTTCGGGCAAAATCAGCATGAAATGATAAATTCTTCCTAGATCATATTATTTTATATATATAAAGAGAATGAATTGTATAATTTAATTTTTCTCTTATGCCGTGATGAATCGTTCCATTTTTCATTCCATATTTTAAAAAAAATTTTCCGTTCAAGCAATGGATAATCCAATCCAATTTTAAATCATTTTGGGAGATTTTACATTAAAATTTTTAAAATCCTTCATCTTATTTATATTGTTGTTTTTAAGATTCCTATTAATGTTGCAGGCACCATTTTTCAACAAAAATTCAAAGTAGAAATTTTATATTTCTGAATAATTTGAAATCTTTTAAAATTCAAATATTCTCGACTATTGTCCTTGATTTTTTGTTGTCATATTTAAAGCATAAGAAATAGTATTTGTCTATATTTGCCCATATGAAATTTTTAAAAATTTTTGCACATTTTTTTTCTATTTATTCTCTTTGTCGTTTTTTTTTTCGATCCTTTT